AATCAACCCCTACTTAGCAATTAGTCTAAGCTATCTGTAGAGCAACCGAATTCCTCACCCTAATAGAATCCTCCTCTTGCTCCAAAACACCTTGATTCTTCTGCGACCAAGCTTCCTAAGCCAACACCTCTTTAGAGTTAGAAACTCACTCACCCCATCCTCTTCTACTTGCAAAAGAGACACCCACAAATGCATGCTTATTAATGGCGTTGAGCCCAGACACTTCACACCCCACCAATTGCACCAGAGCTTCCTCTTCAAACATAGTCCTATTAGACTGCACCTCTTTGTCCATTTTTTACGGCCGCGCAGCCCCAACTAGGTCCACTGCTATAAGTGTATCAATGACCCGCTGTCCAATCCAAAATCAATTTAGATGGATTGGATAGGCCAATAAGACATATTGGACTAGTCCAAGTTAATCCAAAATAATTATTAGATTGGATTGGACCTGGTCTATCCATAATAAATTTATATTGGATTGGATTGGATTAAACCAATATCTGATTCATTGATATAAGATAAAAATATAGATATCAATAAACTGGGTTTAGGTTGAAATCAATCAAAATCAAAATGAATTTAAACAAATTAAATGGTCCATTGGACTGATCCAAAATAATCCAAAATTTTCATTGAATTGGACCTAGTCCACTTATAATGCACTCAACTGGATCGGATTAGAAAAATCCAATACAATTGACACCCCTACCTATAACACCTTCCGTTTTCAGTTGGCTCACCAGTCACCACTGATAGCAACCTCTTTTTCTTTTGACTTGTTTAAACGATTTCTTACTGTAGCTTCTTTACTAGGCCCAGACAAAAGTTGACCTTGTCCTATATGTTAGCCAAATTAAGGGACTAGACACTTGACTTGAGAAGATGCACCCCCCTTACAGCTTGGATCAGCACTACAGAGCAGGGGACAAGATCGGTTGTTGACTCCCCATAGATGAATTTTTTGACCATTCTAGTGATAAAAAAAGCCTCGATCCTTTTTTTGGGTTCTATGCTACTAATCTACTATCTACATTTAAATATTAATTTGTGTATAATAATGAACCAATCATCAGAAAAAAAAATTATTTTTAAATTTAACCATCGTATGAGAATTAGTATATTAGGATGGTATTAAACATTTCATTTAAATGTTTAAGTAGCAATGCAACGCCAATTGCAATAATGCTCAAATAAACACTTGTTCAGGGCCTAGATAATATAAGTATCAACCAAACTAGTTTCAGGCCTTGTTTGGTGTATCTTTTCGTATAGGTTGTTAGCTTTTTAAAAGTCCGGAAGTTTGTGTTTTTATCTTTTCTCTTTTAATTAGGAAAAGATTTAGTTGTCAAAAGACGTGTTGAAAAGACGTATAGAATCTATTTTGGATAATTTTCGAGAAACTCTAAATGAAGCTTTTTAATTTTTCATCTCATTTTTGCACAAGAAAATATACCTTAATCAAAAGATCTTCAAGTTATCAAGATTTTAATGTAAAATCTCACTATGACTTTTAACTAAACCTCTAAAAAACCTTTCAAAAAGACTTACCAAACAATCCTTCAATTAATCCACCTGGACTAGTATTAACTGACCTAAAACAGTAAAATCATGGCCTTTGATGCATTATTGTGGCCCCACTTTACATCACTTCATCTAATTCAAGGTGGGGCCACATTCATACATGGATGGCCATGATTTGGTTTTAGCCTTGCTACTCCAAGTATAGCTGATTTTTTAGCCCTATTGTGGCATTTGATATAAATGCCATAGCCTCTCTAAACGTTTAAGCCTAAAATAATTGAAAGCTTATTCAATTTAATAAATTCATAGATCAGCTTTTCTCTCTCTCTCTCTTAGAACCGCACTCCAGAGGCCGAGTTAACTTCGGTCAGATCTGCATCAAACTGGACCAATCAAAATGACCCAACTGGGCCAACCCAGTAGCTAGCGAATGCACCTAATTTGACAAAACCTCACCAAGATTATCAATCAAGACCGTTCATTTTTATTATCCAACATGAATGTACTGAAGTTCTTCAAATTTACCTGTCTGGAGCAGCCTTGGTTGTCTGGGCAATATCTCTGATCAATAATGATCGGATTTTTCACATCTTTCATAATAATGTTTTCATAGAGAACACCTCTCACGTAGCCGGAGCTCGGCCTCGCCCACGTCTTTATCCTCACACCATTATCAGTTCCGGTGAAAACAGCATTTTTCACGGTCACATTCTGTACTCCCGATTCTCTCAGATCCTTTCCTAGGCTCCCAATGCTACAATAAATAATCACAAATAAGCCCACGTTAACGCAGAAGACTTCTAGTAGTGTGGATCAGTTTGATTTGTTCCAAAGATCGATCAAGCAAATCGTTCTCCATACCTGATGCCATGTCCAGGACCGCATGCTATGTGATCAATCCACAGGTTTGAGGTGCCTGGACCAATGGAGATACAGTCATCACCGGTCCTAATGCCGGAGCTTCTGATGGTGACACCAGTCGAAAACTGTACATGTATGCCGTCCGTATTGGGGCTCTGGTCAGGCGCCAAGATCTGCACCTTTTGCACCATTACGTTGTTGCATCTGTTTACTACAACATGAGTAGTCTGGCTGTTGATCGATGTTAAGCCGCTGATCAAGATGTTGTTCGCGTAATTGAAGGTTATCGTCTGCATAAATTTGAAAGAAGTAATCAAAAGAGCCTTTAACTGTTATATTAATTCGTTTGGCTTAAACAACAAATCCAAACAAAACAAATGAGAAATAACAGCCAGTAGTAAGTTGGGTTTGTTGTGTAACCCACCCTTGCTCCGGCTGGGCAGTTCCTGCCAGCATTCCTGCAAGCCCAGAAACCAGCTCCTCGCGCATCAAGAGTCCCCCCAAGGACAGACAACCCGGTCACCTGAACGAACAAAAGCCAATTTCCTGCATTGCCAATGGCGTAATAATTGTTCGGAGCAAGGATTGTTCCATCAATTTTTATAAGAATTCTGCTCTTGCATGGACCTCTGAAGACTGCTGGTTTCATCAAGTACCTTCCACGAGGCACATGGATTGTTGAAGGCCTGACTGATTGGCACGCTGAAGCCCATGCCCTAAGGAATGGTTTTGTCGCATCAGCTCTGCCGTCCGGCCTGGCGCCGAAGCTGACGAGATTATAAGAGACAGCATTTGATGGCGAGAAGACAAAGAGAAGGAAGAGAAGAAGCAAGGGGATGATCAGTTTAGCCATGTTTACTCTAGTCTTGACCCTTGAGCAGAGACTAGAGAGACGGGAAGAAGTTGTGGCAGTGTGGCTATTTGTATTGTATTGATTATAGACGAGGAGGATTCCATTTATTATTTAATGTTTTACATATTCTTTTATGGTAAGTACAGATCCTCTAGTGGGTGACTGCCACGTGTACTACATGAAAGGCTTACTGTGGGAAACCAGGGAGAATTTAATGCAAACACTTGGAATGCGTGTTGCAAAGTTAAAGGAAGTGTAGTTAGTTTGTGGAGACCGAGGTATTTTAGATTCGGGGACTCATGCGACACATGGAGAGGAGGAAAGCCAGGAATAGAATAAGGCAATCCATGTGGCGGAATCACAGCTCACGATGTACTGTGTTGGGCCGGGCCATTTCTTTGCGTAGGATATAAGGGATTGTATGTTGGACCAAGACTATGTTGACCACTAGGCCTGAAATATAGGCCCAATTCAGCCCTACAACTGTAGAATTGGGATCTGTGAGGTCTGCTCCTCACACCGATTTCACAGCCACATCCCACCGTCTATTGGGAGTATTTTCCATGAATAAAATGTACGGGACATGCTCCTGTGTGAGGTTAGTATAAGAAGCACTCTGTAGGAAGCAGATCCGGACCTGGTTGGACATTAGACTTATGAGCTGAATCCATATCTCCTGCCAACAAAACACATCCAAACACCCTTTCAATGTAATCTGACACCGCATATCTCATATATGGTGGTTCAGTCTCATGGTGGAATGTGTGGTGCGGATCATGTTGATAGGGAGTTGGAACGTGAAACTTACTGGCAAAATAGATTTTTGAGATGATATAATCAGTAGTCTACATGACTTTTACATATAAAATAATATAGGTTAAAAAAAGTAAAAAAACCTCTTCTATAGCAAATAATAAATGATCAGAAGTCTTTATTATAGCAACAAAATATAGCTTATCTGAATTTGGGCATTGTTCATTTGTTGACTTGTTTAAGGAACACCAATTATGAGGAAATATTGGCTCCAACCTGTCCTCCAATCAAATGCATTTTATTTTTAAATTTTAGGGTTTAAGGTTAATTAGAGTTTAGGTTTTAAGGTTTAAAGTTAATGAGTTTTCAGGGTTTATGGATTTTCTTTAAAAAAAAGGGTTTAAGGGTTTAGGGTTTCGTGTGTATATATATATATATATATATATATATTCCCATTATGTATGACCATGCCAATTTGTTTTAACTACTCTTAAACCCTAATCTTAATGGCAAGATGTCATTAACGAGATGTCATTAGTAATTTTTATTCCATAAGTTTATATTTTAATATAATAATTTCATGATTTTAGATTTTCAACAGAATGATCTATTATAATCTATAATAGATTCAAACTATTTTAGCATTCCTTTTCTCAAGTTTGTACTAAAACGAAAACTAATAAAAATATTAAACAAGTAAAGAATAATAAAAAATTTGGTTAGCATGATCATAAAAGTTCAGTTTAGGTCTCTGTTAGTCAAAGATTAAGGCCATGTTTGGTTTGTAGGAATAGGGGTCTGGAATCAGAATCGGAATGGGCTATTTTGATTCCAACTGTTTGGTTGGGTGGAATTGGAATCACATTCCTATTCTTACTGGATTAGCATTCCTCCTTTTGAGGGAATGACCATTCCCTACCCTTCCCTTGAGAATGAAATCCTATTACTGCTGATTTCAATTCTCATTCCCATTCCTGTCTGAACCAAACAGAGTATAGGAATGAACCATTCCGATTCTGATTCCAGAGAATTTCGATTCTAATTCTGATTTCAAATCAAACGAACCATAGGAGAATTTGAGACATTTGATGAGATTTCAAGAAGATGGGAGAAGTTGAATTGGGTTAAAGTCATGATTAAGGTTCAGAACCTTGGATTGAACTAGAATTGACCTCAACCTGACCTAACCCGGTCTGAATTGCATCCCTAACCAAGGGCTCCTCTTTAGAGAGGGTCATTGCTATTGAATCCGACACCCACGTTTTCAACAGTAGAATCCATCTCTATCCATCAGAATCAATTAGCTACGTAAACGGATTTTTAGTTATTCATATGTACTTTGTGTTTTATAATCTATAAAATACATTAAATTATCTAAACCAACTATATAGTCGTACGTAATGGTTGAAAAGAAAGTTGAGGCATTTTATCTTCCTTAAATCATTAACATGCTATCAGAGCATCATCACTCCTCTATACTCATCTTTCCCACTCTGGTAACACCTCTGCCATATATGTGCCCATTAACATCATATATCCACCCAAAAAATATCATGAATGCAGACAATATGGTTCAATCTTCTCAACAACAATAATAAATTTAAACCTATAAGAAGCCTAGTTTGTACCATACGTCTACTAATACTGTATCACCCTACTAGGCTTGTTTTGCAAATATCTTATCTACCATAAGAATACTAGGATTTTCACTATGAGGTGTTTACAATTGTAAACTTCTATATTAACACATACAAAACAGCTCTATCCTTTGATATTGTGGTATTCCCTTAATTAGGTTCAATTTGGAAGGAGTACATACATAAATATATACCGTACAAATACATGCAAAATAATACAGAATACAATAATAACAATCAAGTTCACGGCAGTAGCAACAATGGCAACAAAAAAAATGAGGGTTTTAACAATCAAGGAAGAGGGTGTTGACCAACTGCCTAAGTTGCTATCCCAAGAATGAGAGAATTGGATTTGTACTCTTCACACATTACACGGACCACATTTTTATAAGCTGCCCTATTGCTAAGCAAGTATGGAATATTGCTAAAGACTGCTTTCAGGTTCTCAATGACTTAGGCAATAATATTTGCGAATGGTGGAACTTCATCTCGAGTAATAACGGTATGAATCCAGGTGACACCTATAACAAAGAGAAATTGGTTCTCCTCCTCTAACAAATTTGGAAGAATCGCAATGAATGTATTTTCAATAATAGGAGTTTGTCCCCCTATATCATCATTGAAAGGGCTTATAATATATTTTTAGAGATCCAAGGGATGAAGGAGGGAGATGATGGGTGTTTGAGAAAGAAGGATGTTATCCCTAATAGATGGAAGAGCCCTGATTTTGAAGTTATTAAAATTAATTTTGATGCATCGTGCATTAATGGGGATTGTTCAGTTGCTTGTATTGCCAGGGACCACCTGGGTCATATTCTGGATCTCAAAACCTACAAGCTAGGTAAAACTACAGTTAACGTTGCTGAAGCGTGGGTGGCATGGGTGGCGTGGGAAGCCCACAATCTTAGTCTCAACTTTTCAAACAGGTACATCATCATCGAAGGAGATTCGAAGCTTGTTATCGAGTGTCTGAAGAAGAGCTACAATCCTCCATAGAGAGTATGCCCAATTATTGAAGATTGCTACACTTTAAGAGAAACATTAGAGGAAACGATTGAGTATCATCACATCTACAGAGAAGGAAACACGACTGCAGACTGGCTAGCTAACTATGCACGCACAAACAATGTTTCTCTCAGCTCCGTCCCTATTCCTCTAAATGTAATTGCTTGTTCTGATTTCTGGGGACGTACTACCCCCCATTCTGACTTTATAAAAAAAAATTGGGTTTGTACTAAATTTACAAAGATTCTTAACTTAGTTTTTAATTTTGAAGTTATTAACTAGCAGCTACAATCTAACTTGTCTATTTAATAACTTTAACATAATAAATATGAAACACCAAGAGCAATTAATGAAGACGCTCAACTTTAATTTGAACAAGCATAAACAGATTATACAGTTGCCGAGTTGTATCTGTTATCGAAACAACCTACCAAGCTAATACGAAACTGTGGATATCTTCAAGTTTATAACAAATGTTGCTCATAGAATGTTGATAATTGAAACCTACCCTTACTCTAATGCAACATTAGAATGCTAAGAGCAAAAGGATCAAGAGACAAGTATGTACAGGACCTATAGTGGTTCACCTCTCCGAACCTATATCCTCTCCTTAGAGTTGTAATGTGGTTGCCCACACTATAATGGGTCGTGCCGGACCAACCCACGGTCCAAGCAAGCCATGCCTGCCTGGCACAAATTCCCATGGTTTTTAAAAATGAATCGGTGACCGAATTGGTCAAGGGTCCGGTTATCGGTTCGAACAGTCCAACCATTCAACCCGAACAGCCAGTCCGTTCTTAAAAAATTGGAAAACAGTGAAAATCGTTCGAACAATTAACCAGCCGGTTCAATTTGCTATTTATCTCTCTCTCCCTTCCATTCCCCTTCTTAGCCCTCTAAACTTATGTACTAAGTGTTGAATGTAATAATATTTTAAATTTGTGTGAAGGATAATTGATAGTTTATGTTTTTTGTACATTTAATCAAATAATTGGAAATTTTGATGTTTGTTCATGTTATTTTACTTGCTTATTACTTATATAATAGGAAATTAGATTCGGGTTTTAGACCCAACCCGTCAACCCGACTCACCTCACCTTCAAATGCAAAGAGGATAGGGTTGGAGAGGGTTTTGCAACTGCATGTGCATGGAGGATTTGAATTCTGAAAATCTAACCTGATACTGGTTTTGGGGAGGATACGACTTGGGAGGTATAGAGGGCGGGCAGGTCTAAAATTTACAAAACCTTCCTCAAGCCCACCCCATTGTCGTCCCTACTATTTGTAAATTTTCTTTTGTATTTTTTTAATTTAAAAGGAAATTATCATCTCCTAAAAAATCTCTCTCCCCTTCCAATTACCTAAGCCTTCTCCTAAAATTTCGAAGCAAAAAAAAAAAGGCAACTTACAAAGAACCTTAGCGACAATTAGCCCCTGAATTCTCATTTGTGACCACAACCCCTCAACTTCCAATTTGCCACAAATACCCCTCCATTAGGGTTCTTCAATTAACTTTCAAAAAAAGATTCTCATTCAGATTTTTAAAGTTTTTTAAATCCCTAAACTATCCTTATTTACATCTACTGTGCAAGCACTGATAATGGTTCATTTTTTGTTCTCTGACAATGATAAAGAAAC